CAATAACCATAACAAACAACCCGTAATCATAACAACAAAACATTAACCTTAACATCAAACTCGTAACCTTAACAACTAACACACAACCTTAACTACAAATCATTAACTATAACAAAAAACCCTTAACCTAAACAACAAACGTAAATACTTGAGATATGAGGTAAATACTTACTTGTTACATTTGCAAATGCAAAATTGGTTGAGAGTTTTTTTCTCCTCTTCCGTCAGCAGCGCGGCAACATCTGCTGACACCTTATAATTATGTACAAATGTGTCCTTGTCACCCAAAAACTTGATGATGAAGCCTGCTGGAAAGGGAATCCCCTCGTTCAGCTTATTCATGTACATTTCTTCTTCTGAACTCATAGGGGAACTCATGTGTTTTTCCCAGATAGAGTGGGGGTCACTTTGTAGCCGAGCAGGAGCCAACTCTGCTACCTTTTCCTACACCTGCGCTTCCTCCTCCCCAGCCACTTCTATTATAGCCTTGTCCCCTATGTTGTCTTTTTCTTTCTTCTTCTTCCCTTCAGTGTAAGGGGTGACTACCCACTTGGAAGGCTTCACCGATCTTTTGCATCTCTTCCGTTTAGGGGGTGCAGTAGCGGCCACATTCTCGCGTGCCCCCGTTGCACCCCTCTTTCTCTTATTCAAAGCCCTTGAAAACACAATAGGAGCATCTTCGTCATCAGTTGATGTCTCTATTGCTGGTGGAGGGGTATTCTCTGATTGCTTTATTTCCATCCCAGTGTCCTCCCGCAGAGTGTCTGATTATCCATTCGAAGTATAAATATTAAGAAAACTTAGCCCCTTCTATCTAAACTTAACAATTTCATAGTAACCCTAACAACTGATGGCTAAACACATGGTGAAAAAGTTGCTAACTTATACAAGTTTGCGTCTCCCCATCACCTGCAGAAGGGACTTCAACCGCCAGCGTTATTTCCCTTCCAGTGTCCTCGCGTTGAGTGCCTGTTTCTGATAATATTCAGAGTATAAACAATCAAAAGCTTAACAACCAATACGTAGACATAACAACCAATCTCTAACGTATAGTGCATATGCAAGCTGACCTGTACAAGTTAGCAGCTCATTCGCTGGCGGGGACACCTTCTCTCCCTCGTTTATTTCTACCTCAAGAGCCTTGTCAATGCGTAGGCCGCTGGTGGAGGTAATTTTCCTGGCAGAGCATCTTCACTCTCCTTGTGGATATAAAAAAAAAATGGTTGTGGAGAGGCCCTCCCTGTTGGAGGGGCCTCGCTCTCCTTATTAGCTTCATCTAATAATAATGATTTATTAACATCCCCCTCGTACTGTACATCAATGCCACCCATGGTGTCTGGAGTGTCTGATTCAAAAAATAAACACAAATGAGCTTAGGTACTTCATTATCAAAAAAATATAGCATCAGTTACATAACCCTAACAACTAACCTAGATACTTAACAATCAATCTCTAACCTTGGCAATAAATCCATAACCTTACCATTAGATCCATAAAGTTAACAATACATTCTTAACCTTAACAAAAAATCCATATAATTATCAATCAATCTTTAAACATAACACGCAAACGTAATTGCAAGCCACATCTAACCTGTACAAGTTTGCGGCTCCATCAATGAGCCGGACACCAATCCTGTAGGGCTCTTATCCTTATATACAGAGAGGGTTCCGTATCGTGCTTCGCTTAGTTCCTCTCTCAGTCTTCTATTTTGAGCAGATAGCTTAGCCACCTTCACAGAAAGAGCACTTATCTTTACACGGTCTGCAGCAATCATACCCTTGAATTTATTCTCGTTCTCACGACGTAATGCTTGGTTCATTGCCACGATGTTCTTCCAGTAGATAACTTGCTGAGATCATTCCATTTGCTTAACTGCCTCATTTGGCTGCTCGGCGTCTTCATCAATATCCTGTGGCATCACATATGCAATAGACAGGTAGAGTATTATTAAAAAGATTAATTAATTAAAAAACAAATAAAATCCACGATTGCTAAGTTCTTACAACTGCATCAATTGGGATGTCGTCATCTTCTGCTCTCTTCTTCTTCTTGTGAAGAATGTCTCTTGGGCCACGAGCCCTGCCGGCGTCTACTGTAGTCGGTCCCTTAATCCTCCTCTTCTCTTTCTCTCTCTCTCTCTCATCTTCCCTTTCTCTATCCCCTGCTCCTTCCCCTACAAACCTCCCTCAATTCTTTGAAGTTGTCCATGTTGCTGTGGAAGCTTTATCGTAGCTTTGCTTGCTTTAGCAACAACAGTGGCCAATCTCAAAGAACCAGCAACCTCCCCAAGTCTCACCCAATTTGTCAGGGGAGGCCTCACAACAGTGGCCAATCTCAAAGAACCAGCAACCTCCCCAAGTCTCACCCAATTTGTCAGGGGAGGCCTCACTGTACAACCAACTGCTAGCTTCTTGATGCCGGTAAGTTCATAATACCACAACTGCACATTAGAGAAATAAAAACTTAACAAACACCTTTATCCGTAATAATTAATAAGTAACCCTAACAATAAAAACGTAACCTTAACAACCAAACCGTAATATTAACAACAAAATCGTAACCTTGACAACCAAACTGTAACATTAACAACTAAACCCTAACCTTCACAATCAGTAAAAAACATGATTACTTATACAAACTAGAGGGGTACACCCTTGCAGATATAAAGTCGTCTTCCCTGGCTCAGGACCCTTCAGTGCCCTCTCTATCGCGTCAGATGTCTCACTGAATATATAGATCCCCCAAGTAGTGTTATTGACATGTTCGATGCTGTCGACGTACTTGAATAAATGCCTAGGAAAGCCAGAAACACTGCTTGGATACCAAATCATGTTCAGCTGATAGAGGATCTGTAGCAGGGCAAAGTCCTTCACATCTCGACGATCAGAAGATAGTACCAGCTTCAAGAGCAGGTCCTCCACATTACGTCTGGTGGGGCCTCCTTTGGGGGGAGCTATACTGCTGGAACCCCCGGCCTCGGGTTTGTCAAAAAATCTGGACCAAATCCTATTTTTCCTATCCTGATTGTGGTCAACATGAAGCCCCTCATTGGAGAACCATGTATGCTCCATTACCCACTCAAGGTTGAATGAGCATGCGATATCTTCTCCATCATTCCTATCGGTGAAGACGAATTTTTTGCTTTTCTTGTCCCACTGACTCAAAATGTGCTCAAAGGTGGGAAGATCGACACCAGGTGGGCCAAATTGGACGTAGTGTCTGAATACACTATCTTCGTAAGCCGCAAAATGCCTTGGCCCCATACGCATCACCAAATTCCGCATGAAGTCATAATAGGCACCGAAGCTGGCGGTGGGCCGCAACGTAATAGCTGGCTTTGACCTTTTTCTACAAAACAAAAACACAAGACAAGAGCATTTTTGAGTATAATCAGTAAACATAACAACTATGTTGTAAACTTTGCGGGTAAACCAACAACCTTAACAACAACCCCATAACCTTAACAACAAAAATCTAACCTTAACAACCAAAGCCTAACCTCAACAACCAAACAACAACCTCAACAATAAAAGCATAAACCTTGCATGTTAACAGTAACCTCAACAGCTAACAGACACCCGTAATTTTGGACCTTCCCACCAGACTAGGAGCATTATCAATCAAACCATAACCTGAATAACATAAAACTTGCGGTAAAAATTACCTTTTGGGTGCTGCCACGTGCTTCTCTTTTTCTCCTCTCTGTAGACCAAGGAGCGCTCTAGTGGCATCGTTGGACGCGCCGGTGGTGCCGGTGCTACCCTTTAGACCTTCGCGGGGGCTTACACTTAAATTTTGAGGTGGGCTTTTGGGTTGAGAATGGCTGGATGCGATGTCCGCTAGAACATCAGCAATCGTAACTCCAGCTTCAGATTCAGTCTGCACTGTAGTTGTATGGGCTCTTTCTGAGATTTTGAACCGCTGGGTGTCATCGCTTTCGCTGTGGTCGGCATTGAGGTTGGCTTTGGGGGTTGAATCGCCGGCCATTTTGATCACTTTGCTTTAATTCGGTTTGCGTTGGAGTCGGTTGATTTAGGGCTAGGGTTTTGAATTGAGTTTCTGGAGTCGGTTTGCTTGCAGAAGAGAGAGATGACAAGGTACGGACGAGGAGGTAACTCATAACGGAGAATGTTAAACGTAAGGGTATTTTGGACATTTCGAGCGGGGTTTAAACGGAGTTTCGCCTGGGGATTCGTTTTGGGGGCTGGAAGAAAATCGCGGGCGGTTTTGGGGGCAAAGCACACGTTGAAATTGGGGGGGGGGGGAAGCATGTTTTGTTGTGTTTTGGGGGCTGGAAGCATTTTTCCCTACTTTATATGAGCCGAGTAATCTTCACAAGATATTTCCAAAGACTCTTTTAGGATCTCTTTTACAAATTTTTACTTAAAACGCTCTAGTTTACTGTACCGTCACCTTAGACAAAGTTTTGACGGATGAATAATTCCAGTAAGTCTCTTCTACTTGTTGGATTTGCCGGCTTGAAATAACTTATCAAATATCGGTTCCGAGTTTTTACATGAAATAACTTATGAAGTTTAACTTGATTTATGTTCTTTGTTCGCGATTGTTGAACAAGATGATTACAGACCTCATTTTGTTCTCTTCATTTTCGTTCTCGTATCTTATTTTCCTTTGACGTTGAACATTAATAATGCTGTTAGGGGGCAACGGGGGCAAAGTTAAAAGTTTAAGTGGGCTATTAGAGACACTTTGAGAATTTGGGAGTTTCGGCGAAAGTTTTCAGGGTTTAATGAAATAATTTAAATTTAGGGGTTTCATGGAAAACATCCCCAAAGTTTTGGGTTTTGTTAAAATGAAATTTAGCCGAAGTCAAAGACCAGAACAAACTCATCGTGTCCATCGAAGGAAATTTCAACGGTTGTGATAAGAAGCTCATTGGAAATTAGTAGATGGGTTCGATTTTATTTTGCTTCTAATATTGAACCGGACTTGGGATTTTACTAGTATCGAAGATATAAAAACAGAAGATAAGGAGATCACACAATTCAGTATTCAGTAATAACAAGCAGCAACAACAACATTATTATTATTTATTGTTATTATTTTCACTCCCCAGGCTAACATATATTCGGTTAGGATTTCATGCGTACATGTCATTTATTCCGTTCCCTATAATCATCAACTTTCTTTATTGATATAATAAAACAGCATCGTCGAATTTCTCTTCTTGCCTCCCATTGAAGACTAAGCTCCAGGAACAGTGTAACCTGAAACCAAATTTATTGATTAGTACACAAATATTGTTTGAAAAGCCAAGTTTTGATTAAATACAACTCAAAAGTTTTCTTTTTCTCTCAATATTAGTTCCTTAAATGGATCATATTTTGAAGTTAGCCTCTCAAATCATTTAAAATTGTTAATAGGTCCACCAATTCTTAATCTATTTTGAATTGGTCTTTCAAATCGTTAATGAATTATTACTAGGCGCCTCAGCTCTCGTAAGTTGTTTCGAATCAATCTCTCTGGTTGGTACTAGGGCTTACTTCCACATTTGTCACCAGGAGCGAAAGCTCGATGACACTTCTCCGCGGCATACACAACCTTCTCCATGCTGATCAGTTTCTCAACCCTGGGAGTGATGTAATGCCTGCATATGCACGGGATGTCGGAGTCGTCGATGGCGTTGCAGCACAGGACTGATGGGTGCTTCGCTGGTCCGTAGGGCTTAACGAACATCTCGCATCGCTCTCTGAGCATGGTTATGTTGCCCTTGCACGGGGAATCAACTGGCTGGGGACCATCTTTAGGAGGTATGGGTTCAGATGTGGTTAAGGTAATTAGGATGAAGAGGAGGGTGAGGGTTATAATTTTTGCAGCCATGTTGATTGCTTCTGTTTTGTCTCTTTGGTGAGTGAGGGGAGGCGAGGTGAGGGGGATTTAATAGGGAAGTTTGTTGGGTTTGTTTGAGACAATGAGGGTTGCGTGGGTGACAATGATGATTGCGTAGGGGATTTTAATGCGGAGAAAGCACCATTAAAGGTGTGAACTCCGATTGGTGAGTATTTCTGGCTTTTTTTTTTAGCCTCCCTAAGAAAAACCTTGGATTAATTGGAAAGTAAATTAAACATTCTCGGGTCCTGTTAGGCAACTCTAACTTAAACTGATTTAGTGAAGCAAAACTAGTTTAATGCCTAATTCTAGTTTGGCAAATAACTTGACTGCGACTTAAACTGGTTTGTTGGGCCAATTTTAGCCTTGAACTAGTTCAGAAATGGTCCGCTGTGTAGTGAAGAGCTGAACTAATTTAGACCAAAACTGATCTACAGGGCGAGTTGTCAATGGCCCTTGAGCTTGCACACGGGTCTAACTCTTAAATCCACATTTTAAATTAGAAAGTAAATTAAATCATTCGTATTTTTAGTCAGGTCTGACCTGCAGTCATATTCTTCATGGATATATACTATTCATGGATATATACTATTGGTACACTAAAATTTAGGGGATGTCATATATCTTAGGCATCTGACATGCAAGATCTAGAAAGAAAAAAAATCTAGATAGCTAGATGATGATGATAATGATATGGTTGAAACTGCTAGGGGAGGAGAGGTTTGCGACATGACTCGCTCTCAAAGTCTTGAAGCTCTGATAGTCTTGAAGCTCTCATAGCTAGACTACCAGCTCACAAGCAAATAAAGTTGGTCTTCACAGGTTTAATGTGTTAATTTGCAAATAACTATGACTCGTCTATTTTGAAAAGGCTAAAAGACCAATTTGATCCCTATACTAGGGATTCATTCTCAAATTGGTCTATGCAATTTATTTTTTTCTTAATTGTGTCCCTATACTCCTTGCTAGATGTAAACTCAGTCCGATTTTAACTCTCCGTTAAAGATTCTACTAAAATAAAAATTAGAAGGAGAATTATACCCTACAAAGTTATAAAATTAAAAATAATAAATCCATTGTCAACTGGTTCTATGAAACGAAAACATTGGTTTCTTGTCAAAAATTTCGACTTAAACAAGTTTTTCTCCAAGGATACTGATTCTAGTCATGAACTGCGAGATAAAAATGCTTCAACATAAGTGATCAAGATCCGGATTTATTTATCTTCTTCAGCAGCTAAGACCACGAAGAGCAGCAACTACATTACTTTCATGATTGCTTGTATTTAACAAGAAAGTCACCAAAAACATTGGATGACAAACTGTACTCAATTGAACAAATACATTTCATTCTCTACAAGCTAACATAGAGGAACAAGAATCAAGGGCATCATCCCTACTCTGAAAACGCAATAATAGAAAAGAACACTTTAAGGCAAAAGGAGTCACCTCCTTGACCTTGAACATTCTTAACAAAATGATGTACTATTTTACTGGTCCCAATCTTCAATATAACTATATCCACAGTCAGAAAGCATGAAATTTCTTAGCAATAGGAGAACTGATATCATAAGCTAGTCAGCGAGATAAATTAAATTAAACTAGCATGGTCGACCATAAAATTGATATTGGAAGAGCAATGTATGGAAAAAGATTGAAGACTTGACGTATACCCTTTAGGTTCAGTCCTAGAAAGGAATCCAACAATTGATTTATATATTCGAGAAAATCGTCATATATATTAACAATAAAATGAAGAAGTAATTTGTGTTAAATTTAACTTATAAAAAATACCATAACTAATGTACTATAGAAGTTTGAACGAAGAAAATAGACCTGTTTCGTCATGTCATTGAGGGTAGTAAGGTTGTAAACAAAAAGTTAACACTTAATTTATATGGACGTTAAAAAAGGACTTACTTTATAACCGTTGTGTGGTGTGGTACAATGACTAAATTGAGAAACAAATAAAATACATAGACCAATTTGAGCATGGAGCCCCGGTACAGGGACCAAATAAGCTTTTTAACCTTTTGCAAATAGTTGTTATAATTATTGATTAGAGAAATTAAAATTATACAAATTTTTATGCACATAGAACATGTGGCTGTTAGATCTACATCATAAAACTTGAGATCTAAAACCATATAGCCATGATTAATTCAAAGAGATTAACAAAATCAAAAGAGAGCGGAAGCTTATACCTGAATCCATTGCTTGATCTTGATTTTGGGTTTTGGATCTTCTAACCTTAGGGTTTTCTCTTTAGCCGAATTTCTCTCTTAGATGGGGGTGAAGAGAATTAGAGAATGTAACCCTAGGTTAGGGACCATAACCCCTTATTTATAGATGTTGTACTTTTGTAATTTAGCCTCTCAATAAATTACAATTACAACCTGGTATCTGCACATATGACCCCATGATCATTTAAATACCAAATTAACCCAACTTAATTGATCACTTCAGTGGGTTATCCTGAAAGATAGCAATACACAATGATTAATCATATGTGCCCACAAATAGATTTATTAGATTAAATCCAACAATCTCCCACTTGGGCACCATATGATTCCTTAAATTGTGTATAACCTTATGAGCTCAAAAATGCTATCACTGAAAAGGTATTTCCGAACAATCTCGTCCATTGACTATATCAATATAGGATCAAAGCGGCCTTCGTCACATTTATCGTGACTCGACCCATCAATGGTCACATATACCAATACAATCAAACGACATAGATCAATCATGGATGTGCAGCATGAAAATTACATGCAATGTGATCAGTACATGTCTATTTTCAACTGGTCCTCCTTAGTGAGGTCAAAACCAAACATAATGTAACAGAGTGTCTTAACTGAAAACTTTATTCTGATCAGACAATACAAACAAACATAAAGCACCACAAATACAAACTCCCACTAAAACATAATATCCTCAAATAATACCACACCCATATGAGCAGTATGCTCATGAAAGACCTTAGGTGGCAATCCCTTAGTAAGAGGATCAGCTATCATGGAGTTTGTCCCAATGTGCTCTATGGATATCTGTCCACTCTGTACCCTTTCTTTCACAACCAGGAACTTAATGTCAATATGTTTTGACTTAGTTGAGCTCCTGTTGTTATTGGAATACATTACTGCAGATTTATTGTCACAATATAACCTTAGTGGTCTTTCAACATTTTCCAAAATGCGCAGTCCCGTGACAAAATTTCGCAGCCATATTCCCTGATTGGATGCCTCATAGCAAGCTACAAATTCTGCTGCCATAGTGGAGGAAGCTACTAGTGTTTGTTTGACACTTTTCCATGATATAGCTCCTCCTGCTAACATATAAATGTAGCCTGATGTAGACTTCCTGCTATCTTGGCATCCAGCAAAATCAGAGTCCGAATACCCAATGACCTCTAATTTCTCTGATTTTCTGTATGTGAGCATGTAATCTTTTGTTTTCTGAAGATACCTCATAACCCTTTTGACTGCTATCCAATGATCCATACCAGGGTTGCTTAAGTATCTGCCTAACATCCCAACAATGTACGCAATATCCGGACGCGTACATACCTGAGCATACATTAGACTTCCTACAGCCGAAGCATAAGGAATCTTCTGCATTTCCTGAATTTCAAGGTTACCTTTAGGGCACTGATTGAGACTAAACTTGTCTCCTTTAGCAACAGGGGTGTCACCTGGTCTGCAATCTTGCATGCCAAACCTTTTAAGTACCTTATCGATATAGCTCTTTTGTGATAATCCAAGAATACCCCGAGAGCGATCTCGATGTATCTGGATCCCTAATATAAAAGAGGCGTCCCCAAGATCTTTCATCTCAAAATTCTTTGATAGAAATCTCTTGGTTTCGTGCAACATGCCTATATCATTAGTGGCAAGCAAGATGTCATCCACATACAGAACCAGAAAAATATACTTACTCCCACTGAACTTGTGATATACACAGTCATCAACAATGTTCATCTCAAAACCGAACGAGATAACTATTTGTTGAAACTTATGATACCATTGACGAGGAGCTTGCTTGAGTCCATAGATGGATTTCCTTAATTTGCAAACCATATTCTTTGGGTCTCCTGACACAAAGTTTTCTGGTTGCACCATATAAATCATCTCATCAATGTCTCCATTGAGAAATGCAGTCTTAACATCCATCTGATGTAACTCAAGATCATAATGAGCAACAAGTGCCATGATTATTCTGAAAGAGTCTTTCGATGAAACCGGAGAGAAAGTCTCTGTATAATCAATGCCTTCCTTTTGAGTATAGCCTTTAGCCACAAGACGCGCCTTATACCTCTCCACATTACCGTTTGCATCCCGCTTGGTTTTAAAAATCCATTTACAACCAATTGGTTTTGCACCTTCTGGCAATGGGACAAGTTCCCAAACCTTATTGTCTTGCATAGACTTATACTCTTCATTCATGGCATCAATCCACTGTTGAGAGTTAGAACTTTTCATGGCCTGAGAGAAGTTGATTGGATCATCTTCTAACATTCCACTACTTTCCTCATGTTCTTGGAGAAATACAATATAATCATCCGGAATAGCATTTCTCCTTTCTCTCGTGGATCTCCTTAATGGCACTGGTTCTTGAGGTTGTTGAGTTTGTTCTTCTGGAACAGGGAGTTGTTCAACATTATCATCTTGAGGTTCCGGATTTACTTCTTGAGCAACAACAGGTATAGGAACCTGAATATTGTCAAAAGTAACTGTATGGATTGGATCTGAAGCCAATTCCTCCTCAAAACTAATGTCTCTAACCTTATTTCTCCCCCCAAACTCAACATCCTCAAAGAATGTTGCTGTTCCCGTCTCAAAAATATTCCTTATAGTGGGATCATAAAACTTATAGCCCCTAGAGCGATCAGGGTACCCAATAAAGTAGCTGCTAACTGTTTTGGAGTCCAATTTCTTTTCATTTGGCCTATAAGGCCTTGCCTCAGCTGGACATCCCCAAATATGTAAATGCTTTAAACTGGGCTTTCGACCAGTCCAAAGCTCATAAGGTGTTTTAGCAACTGCTTTACTTGGTACTCTATTCAGAATGTAAGCTGCTGTCTTAAGTGCTTCTCCCCAGAGTGACTCTGGTAAAGAAGAATGAGCAATCATACTTCTTACCATATCCTTAAGAGTCCTGTTTCGTCTTTCAGCTACACCATTCATGCTAGGTGAACCCGGCATAGTGTACTGTGGGACGATACCGCATTCCTCTAGGTATCTAGCAAATGGTCCTGGACGTTGTTCACCTGAACCATCATATCTACCGTAGTACTCACCACCACGATCAGATCTGACGGTTTTAATTCTTCTGTTGAGTTGATTCTCAACTTCAGCTTTATAGGCTTTGAACATGTCCAGAGACTCAGATTTTTCATGAATAAGATATAGGTGCCCATAACGTGAGTAATCGTCTATGAATGATATAAAATATTGTTGACCATTCCAGGATTCCGTAGGGAATGGCCCACAAATATCCGTATGTATCAATTCTAAGACATCCGAAGATCTGTTGGCACCTAATCTCTTCACTTTGGTCTGTTTTCCCTTGATACATTCAACACATACGTCGAAGTCCGAAAAATCAAGGGAATCCAAAATGCCATCAGACACAAGACGCTCAACTCTACCTTTTGAGATATGACCTAAGCGCTTATGCCATAATGTCGCCGAATTTTCCTTATTTAATTTACGCTTAGTACCACGTGATTCCACATGCAAGGATTCATTGTAAGAAGCAATTGTATCAAGCAAATATAGGTTGTCATAAATACTCAAGTAACCGGTTCCCACAACATTTGAATTAAAAGATAAACTGAATTGACTGTTTCCAAATGAACAAGAATAACCTGATTTGTCCAATACAGAAACAGAAACCAAATTCCGTCTAAAAGACGGTACTACAAAAGTATCTTTTAAATCCAAATAATAACCAGTTCCTAACAACAACCTAAAGTGCCCAATTGCTTCCACATCTACCGATTGTCCGTCGCCCACAAAGATGTGTCTTTCAACATCACTTGGCTTTCGGTAGCTCAGGCAACCCTGCATAGAAACACTTATGTGAGTAGTAGCACCAGAGTCTAACCACCAAGTGTTTCTAGGTACTGAAGCTAAATTAACCTCAGAACAGACCAAAGCAAGGAACGTACCCTTATTATCACGCCAGGCGTGATATTTTGTACAGTCCTTCTTTACATGTCCAGGCTTCTTACAGAAGAAACAACCCTGATTATCCTTATGTTGTTTCTTCTCAACTGGACCCTTAGCAGCTTCCTTATCATTCTTCCTTTTCTTGCCCTTATCCTTAGAGGCATAGGCCAAATGAGCACTTTCTGTCTTATCTTGCTTCAACCTGTCTTCTTCTTGCACACAGTATGAAATGAGCTCATTTAGAGTCCATTTCTCCTTTTGACAGTTATAACTGACCTTAAATTGGTTAAACTGTGCAGGAAGAGACAACAAAACCAGATGCACTAATAACTCGTCACAAAGATCGAGTTTAAGTGCCTTAAGCTTTGAAGCAATATGAGACATTTCCATAATGTACTCCCTGATATTTCCTTTGCCCTTATACTTCATTGAAATCAAGCGAGCTAAAAGCGTGCTTGTTTCTACCTTATCGTTTTTCGCAAAACGCTTCTCAATTTCGGCAAGGAAATCTTTAGCCTTAGTAATCCCTTCGGATTCTATGCCCCTGAAGGCTTCCGGAACGCCGCGCTTAATGATCATAAGACTCATGCGATTTGAACGCTCCCACTTCTCATGCTCCTTCTTTGCATCAGGAGTGCTATCCGCATTGAGAGGTTGGGGTTGTTCAGTTCTTAATGCATAGTCAAGATCCATGCAGCCAAGAACAATTAATATGTTCTCTTTCCAAACCTTGAAGTTTGTCCCATTTAGCATGGGAATTGAGTTGATGTTAGCAGAAATTGTTGCAGCAGATGCATTAGCTGAAATAAAACAAAAATGCTCACATCAATAACCATAATCAATAAAATTCAAATAATGACAATCCCCATCCAAGATACCGGCACAACATTAATATCAAGTCTTTGGACAGTAATATTAACTTGTAAGTGATACCTTGTTGCAATGATCAAACATTGACAATAACTCATGTCAAATAATGAAACTATCTTTGGATCGATTCATTATTCACATGTAAACCTTATAATTGTCACACGCTTATCATCGCAGATGTGTATACAGTCTAAATAAATATTAACCTTCCTTTGGGCCGATTAAATATTTACACGAAAGCATACACACAAACATCTCACATTCCTCATGAACAATCTACACAAGAGAGGTTACTTTGGCAACTTCTTGTTTCAATTAATCAATTGGAGTGAGAGACAACCTTAATACCTTAGTGTCATAATATTTGAATTAAATAATTGATTAAAAAAACTTAATTGGGGTCTCACAGCTTAACTAGGGCACATAACTTAATTGAATAAATTAAGTATACCAAAGTGGACCCATAAAAAAGCCGAGGCTTAACCATAATGAACACGAAGTTCCCTTAACTTCGAACGCGAGGTTCGACTGTATTGAGTACGAGACTCACTTAAGCACGAACGCGAGGTTCGTCTGAAAATGAACGAACGCGAGGTTCGTTTGATAAAAGAACGCGAGGTTCAACTTGGGAACGAACGCGAGGTTCGTTAAAAAAAATGAACGCAAGGTTCAACTGAAGTACGAACGCGAGGTTCGTCTGAAGTACGAACGCGAGGTTCGTCTGAAGTACGAACGCGAGGTTCGTCTGAAAATGAACGAACGCGAGGTTCGTTTGATAAAAGAACGCGAGGTTCAACTTGGGAACGAACGCGAGGTTCGTTAAAATTGAGCTTGACGCTCACCTGAGTTGAACGCGAGGTTCACCTTAGAACGAACGCGAGGTTCGTTAAAATTGAGCTTGACGCTCACCTGAGTTGAACGCGAGGTTCACCTTAGAACGAACGCGAGGTTCGTTGAGCGCGAAGCTCGGTTAAAATTGAACGAACGCGAGGTTCGTTTGAGGTAACCACCTCCTTAATTTTCGCCATGAACCCTTAGGGTTTCAAATTGAAACCGCCGCCGACAAACCCAAAAAACCTTTGATTTTTATTTTCAAAACAGATCCAGAATTGGAAAAAATTGAAGGAAAAATCAAAGAAAAATCCAAGAACATTACTGTTCATCCGAAAAATCCAAGAACCTTTGATTTTTCAGTTACTGTTCATCCGAAAAAAATACTTTACTGCTCATCCGAAAAAAAATTTCGTTACTGTTCATCCAAGAACATTACTGTTCATCCGAACCCAAAAATTGAATCTTTAACCAGAGATTTAAGATAAAAAAACCCAATAAAACTTAAATCCCTAAGAATTAATCAAGGTGGCTCTGATACCACTTGTTAGATCTACATCATAAAACTTGAGATCTAAAACCATATAGCCATGATTAATTCAAAGAGATTAACAAAATCAAAAGAGAGCGGAAGCTTATACCTGAATCCATTGCTTGATCTTGATTTTGGGTTTTGGATCTTCTAACCTTAGGGTTTTCTCTTTAGCCGAATTTCTCTCTTAGATGGGGGTGAAGAGAATTAGAGAATGTAACCCTAGGTTAGGGACCATAACCCCTTATTTATAGATGTTGTACTTTTATAATTTAGCCCCTCAATAAATTACAATTACAACCTGGTATCTGCACATATGACCCCATGATCATTTAAATACCAAATTAACCCAACTTAATTGATCACTTCAGTGGGTTATCCTGAAAGATAGCAATACACAATGATTAATCATATGTGCCCACAAATAGATTTATTAGATTAAATCCAACAGTGGCATACAATTTAGGATGAACGATACCGATTACCATATTAAATAAATAACTATCGACTAGCTCATTTGATCAATCTCATCTCACTCTCTCACTTTGTCGTTTTCTACATGGTAAGTAATGTACTAAACTAGGCCATTTCTTACTCAAAAAACAAGTTAAAAAATAAAAGGTAGGAAATTTTCACTTTCGGATCTGACAATACTCCTAGTTGGCCCGGCCCAATCCATTCTCCAAGAAACAACAACACCGCCGAATTGTTGCTGCCACCTGCACTTTTCTTTCACCGAGCTCGCTCGTGTTCCCGGGGCCGCAGGGCGATGCTGGTGCTCCGCCACTGCTTCGTAAGCTTAACGTACTCCTCCCCTCTATCGACCACCCTCACCTGGTTTCGATCTGGGGTTGGGTTTTCTCTCCCTGGGCCTTTTACCTCTCGACTTTCTATATAATTTTTGGGGGGGGGGGGGGGGGGGGGGATTGAGAACCAAATTTCAGTTTTTGAGTTTGGAATATGTGAGGAACAATAGGGGTTTGGGGTATCAAACAAATTGTTAAATTTATCGTCAATTTGAAACCTTTAGGGTATCAAATTGTTTTAGAAACTTCAGTATAAAGGGTGCAACTTTGGGTATTCAAGTGCAATGACCTAATTCTTTAAGTTGTATTTTTGCGAAAACGACTATTTTTTGTGTCTTTTGTCTTATTGTTAATGTATTTTGCAGCTTTAGCTCCATCAGATTCTTTCTTGTTCTCAATTAGTTACTGTTGACGTGTTTATCTTTTGATTCTCCTTATTCATTTTCCTGTTGAAAAGGAATGAACTTTGCTTAAAATTATATATTGGGTTTTTAAGAAGAACAATTTTTCAAAACAGCCCCATTTCATTTTTTTTTATTTTTAAAATCAACCAGTTTTTTTTATTTACCAAAATCGATCCGTTTTTTGCCACGTCAGCCTAATCACCCTCCTAAACAGTCGGGGTTGCCAACCCCGACTATTTAGGAGGGTGTTAAATAGGGTGCTAAACCGTATCCGAGGAAATATCTGTAACCGTATCCGTTAGGATACGGATATGGTTACTCAAATCTATAACCGTTACTCAAATCTATAACCGATAGGATATGGTTACAGATATGATTTTATAGTGAAATATCTGTATCCGTATCCGAAATATCCGAATACATAATAGTCATACTCTTACGATAGTTTCGATTTCTTAGATTATGGATTTGTGGTTAATTTTGATAATCAAGATGTCTAATCTTAACTTTTCAGATATAATGAACATATAAACGAACTCTTTTGTATCACATGAACTATGTTTTTCTCAATACTATCTAGCTTTCTCATATCCGTTTTGTATCTGCATACATATCCGCTTATATATCCGCATGTATATCTGTAACCGTATCCGATTTTAGCGGATATGGATATGAATTTTTCTTACCGAGGTATATCCGTATCCGTAACCGTATCCGAGATGAGTAAGCGGATATGAATATGATAGCATCATATCCGAGCCGTATCCGGACCGAATGCGCCCCTAGTGTTAAACCCCAATTAGAAGCCTTAAACCCTAAAAATTTATGTCCTAAATAGTCGGGGTTGGCAACCCCGACTGTTTAGGAGGGTGATTAGGCTGACGTGGCAAAAAACGGGTCGGTTTTGGTAAATAAAAAAAATGGGTCGATTTTAAAAATAAAAAAATAAAATGGGGCTGTTTTGAAAAATTGTTCTTTTAAGAAAGTTAGGTTCCTTCTTTTTGTTAATTAGTCTTTTTCTATTAAATTTTCTGTGTTCTTACCCATTGTTGATTTGACTTGTTTGAAGATGAGCTTCATAGGTTGGTACAGTGCTTGCTTGTTTAAAATTTGGCTATTGATCTAAATTATTTGCTCGAGTAGTTCTCCTTCTTCTGATTAGTTTTCCTTTTTTCATTTTAGTACTTTATTTTCTCCTCTACATTATTTTAAGTATATATTTGTTTTGGGATGTGATTCTGTGCATGTTGTGTGCTTTGGAGAAGGATGCAGAACTATAATAGTAAAATTACATCTAGGCTACTCCCTGTGTAAAGGTTCTTGATTCTTGGCATGGACTTAAACTAGTGACTTTATAAAGATGGTTTTAGCTGAAAATTGAAGTAGTAGGTTTTGTGGTGTGCGCCTCACTCGCGCCTGGTTGGCTGATTCCCATGGCTAGAAGCCTAGAAATTTTGGCACCGGATCATAGTTTTAACTACTTCACTGACGCCTGACGATCATGCTTTTCTTTCTTCTTTTCCTCATTAAATTTGAGATTCAGTTGCTGGTCCTATCATCTAAACATCAAATCTTTCTTATAAGACGGGGAAAGACCTCATCACAGTGTTTGCGACTTGATTAATTTTAGCTCTAATCTTATTTCTGCAGCCGTGCAATTCAACCTAGGAAATTAAGGATTGGAGAGCTTGTGAATCTAAATTTCAAGAGGATGGCTTCTAAAGCAGAAATTCCAGACTTATCCGCACCAGTTTCCAAACCATCCGGCCGCCAGAAAAGCCAAAAGATAAAGGGATCTGTAGATTCTAGGAGTCAATCTAAGAAGAGTGTCATGAAGGTTATAAAATTTGTGCACTTCATCAGATCAGTGTGTAATTGTTTATCCTCGATGGTTTCTGATTGATGTGTTGACCTACAGGAAGATGCTACAGAAAGCTCTGTTGAAAATTTGGATATTCAGAGTGATTCTGATCATTTTGATTCCCTGACATTAAAGGAACTTCAGAAAATGGCAAGGTGAGGTTCTTAGTAGTGTCCTTATCTGCATAAACCCCCTCTTTTTGTTTGCATGCTTGCATGGATGAGGCCTTTGATTGTATTTTGACTGATGTTTATGTTTACCAACAAAAAAGAACTGTAGGTATATCCGCAAGGGGTAGTAAGAAGGATCTTATTTTGGCCTTGAAGTGCTTCTCATCCAAAACTGACAATGGTAGCAATTTATCATTGATATAATGCATTTCTGTGCTCTTCGCAGCATATCGTAGAGACTCATTCTTTCTACTAAAAGTTATATATGTCAACAGGCAATAATTCATCTTCAACAGTTGCAACTGTAGATCCGGAAAATACAAATTCAAAACGAAAAGCTGCGCCTTCATCTTTTGAACATAATACTCAAGATTTATACACTGCACCGGATACTACTGAAAAGAAACAGAAAAGAAGTAGAAAAAAGCAAGAGTCTGTTGAGTGCATTGCTATTGAAAATGAATCTCTAGCTGTGGTGAAACAAAAACAGACATCTACTGATGCAGAAGAAGTTGTCGGTAAGTTCTACAACTATGTTCTTTCTTGAATTTAGTTAAGTTGTTGAAGACGGAGATGGAGAAAAGCTACTCTTTTGTGATTTTAGAGAAAAAGAATTTCCGATCAAGCAAAAGAGTTTCTACAGAAACTCAAGATTGCAAGGGGGTTATAGGCCAAATGGTCACTGCTGAGCCTTGGACGGTGCTTGCTCACAAGAAGCCACAGAAAGACTGGATACCATATAATCCTAACACAATGAGGCCACGACCTCTTGCGAGGGATACAAAATTTGTGAAGCTTATGTCTTGGAATGTCAATGGCTTGAGGGCATTACTGAAGGTGGAGAGTTTCTCTGTCCTTCAACTTGCTCAAAAAGAGGATTTCGATGTGTTATGTTTGCAAGAAACGAAAATCCAGGTATAAATATAAATTGCTTCATCCTTACAAGAAAATTTATTTACTTCTCCAAAGTATCAAGATTCAGTAGAGGACTTTTATTGAGAGAAGCAGTAATCACGAAGACCTATGTAGCTGTGTTCGGAAAGCACCTTGATGAAATTACAAATTTCAGTATTTTTTTTTTGTATGTACAGAAGTTATAGAGAATCTCCTGTTCATTTGATTCAAAAAGTTATTTTGTTTCGGTTAAGTTGAACAACCTGGTTTATGATTTTAACTTTTAAACAGGAGAAAGATGTGGATGAGATTAGAGAGCGTCTAATTGATGGATATGATCACAGTTTCTGGACTTGCAGCATTGCAAAGCTTGGTTACTCTGGTACTGCCATTATATCACGGGTATGCTCATTCCTTCCCCAAAGCAGCGCTCGTTTACATAGAAGCATGCTTGGTTCTGATGTGTACTTTTTATATATGCTTCACAATATTTCTTTGTAGAGTACCTGCATGTTTTTTGCCTCGTAAAAAATTCCTTGTTTCTTGGAAATTAAGAAATCAAACTTATTATTGAGAAAAGAATCATTCCGTTACAAGAGGAAAATGCTAAGGATTTGGTTGTTAGTAGAGATAGCTTATTCTCCACTTTTTGGTTTATGATGCATATATTATTATCTTTAAGGTGTGACATAAGCTAAAAGATCATATAGATGCAGTGAGGAATAACTTTCCAAGTTTGAATTGGAACTATATCTGACTAAAACATTATCAGATTGTTTGGAATTTTGTTCATCGAAGAAAAATATAGTATCACCCACTAAATGTGTGCATTCTGTTGAGTTGCCTTGACAATCTTAGTTAATATACTGCTGGTTTAGTATCTTGTCTTAAACCTTGACCTCAGTGTCTATGTCACTCTGTTGCTGAATTTTCATGACTAGTGAGTCTGTTACTTTTCCTTGATATTACATTTGGTGTTTTAAAATGTAAAGATGATCCTCGCATCTATCAGCACCACCAAAGGTTGGAGTTCTTTTATTAATGGAAGGTATCATACAAGTTCAGGTGAAATGCATATATTATATATACATCTCAGTGTGGAAAGGTGTGCGGATGTTCAAGTGAAAGTAGAATTTCTTAAACTTGAGATGTCTTTATAAGGTTAACTTTGGGGTTTAATGTTCAATTTCATACTCTGCTGAGCTGTTGTGTGAATAACATGTTTTTACGGCCGGGCAAGAAGTATTGGCTTTTTAAATGGAAAAAAGTTTTTTCTTTAAAATAGACTTCAGCATCATTGCTGTGTTCTTATGCTCATTTCTGAATTCCTAGAACTGATCTTATTGTGACACTTTTCCAGTTATAAAACTTACTAAGCTTTCTTAAGCAGATAAAGCCAATCTCAGTGAAGTACGGACTTGGTATATCAGATCATGATAGTGAAGGCCGGCTTGTGACAGTGGAATTTGATACATTTTTCTTACTGTGTGGTTATGTGCCTAATTCGGGAGATGGTTTGAGAAGATTGGTAATTAGATCCTTAATGTTTTTATTAATGAACTCTTTTTTAGGTAGGGGATGCCAGTCATTTATGTTGTGATCAATAAAGGAATTTGATCATCTAATTTGTGATGTTCTTGGTGTTAGACATACAGGGTTGAGGAATGGGATCAATGTCTTAGCAATTACATGAAAGTAAGCATTCTTTTTCTGGTACATTTAATTAGTCTTTTCAATCTGACTAAAATACTGATGTTTTTTGGACGTATATATTCTCTCTTTTATACTCATCACTGTTGTTGTTATTATTTTTAGATAAATCAATAACAATAATAAATGCTTATTTTTTTATTGAGATATATGCTCTGGTACTTGGACTTTCCCTCTCAGTTACTGTCAAACCGCGTCATTGGTTAGGAGAGACCAATTGTTCTGTTCTTTATGACGAATATTAACATAAAGAACTTGATGTTGGAATGGATATCTTATGTTAAGCCATATGACAGTCAATTCTTGCTGCAATTGACCGTTTAAATTATTTATAGGTTATAATAGTAGTTGCAAGTCTTGAAGTCCCCTTTTATTGTACAAAAAATCTGAAGTTGTGAGGGTTGAAATTATAATTTAATACTCTAACATGTCCATGGATGAATGCCCTTGGGCTGAAAACTTTTGGGCTGTTTTAAGAGATTGATTCTCTTGTTTTTCCTTCCTAAATCCACTTTAAATGCTTACTCAATTGGACTTGAACCTGGGTTGATCACCATCTTAAATTGCTTTCCCTGCACAATGGTCTGAAGTTGTGGTGGCGAGAGTTACACTTTTAGACTAACAGTAAGGAGCTGTTCATGCATACTGATCCAGATCAACAGCCATATTTGGTGGTGGACCATTTGAAGTGGCTCTTTGCTAAAATAGGGTGCAGAAATCGACATATACATATCTAGTTGTATGCTTATGTCCATTTTTCCCAAAATAAATTCAGAAATTTGTTAGATAGCAAAAACGGTTGCTGCTGATGGAAGGTAGTATATCACATGTCAAAATGTTTTCTTGCTGCCCACTCATAAACAGTAGTGCTGAGGTTGGAAAATGCACACAAGATTTTTCTCAGAGAATAATTTTATTTCTCAAAATGCGCAGGAGTTTCTCTGCAGATATGGGGTCAAGTTGATCCTTGTATGTTACAAGAATATGTGCGTCTATTAGATAAAAGAGACTTCCTTTCAACTATGCTCCATTACCGATATTCTTTTCGCGGATTAGATGCCTGACACGCTTTGACTCATTGAGGATAGATAAGATTAAAAATATGGCTATTTTTGAAACTTGCAATTAATAGAGACTCCTTTGTTAACCACTAAAAGACCAAGAAAAGAATTACACAGAGAGATAGGTTTTCCCCAATTTCAAGATTTCAACTTTAAGCTTTAAGATTTTCTTTCTAATTGAATCTGTTTCTTATGCAAAATCCTGGCATTGAATTTATTACTAGAAATATCTGCAAGAAGATTAGTTAGTGTTCCTTTTCTTGGTAAACACTGTCTTTTTTTTTTGGCAGGAACTGGAGAAATCAAAGCCTGTGATATTAACTGGTGATCTGAATTGTGCTCACCAGGAAATCGATATATATAATCCTGCTGTAAGGATCTGTTTATCTGAATGCTTTAACGCCTTAACCTGTACTCATCAGCAGGCTTTGTTTGGTGAATGAATCTCGACGAAATTTTGCAAGCATGATGTGTCTATTGCATGTTGATTTGTAATTGGTTTTGGTGATAAAATAGGCAAAAATGATGTTTTAGGGGTAGCTTTAAAAGTACGATAGATTTGAAGAGTATGTACATAAATAAAAACCTTATTTATACTGTCATTAATCATAAATACTGTGAGTGACGAAATCATCAGATAAGGCTGTTTACAGAAATTTCACTTTCATTTTTATACCCTTTGAAAATCTGTTTGGTTTATCCTTGTAGTGATAGTTTGCTATGGTCCTATAGGGAAATCGTAGGAGTGCTGGATTTACTATTGAAGAAAGGGAATCATTTGAGAGGAACTTCCTGTCTAGAGGCTTTGTGGATACCTTCAGGAAACAACACCCTGGTGTAGTGGCCTATACTTATTGGGGTTATAGACATGGGGGACGCAAGACGAATAAAGGTATTCAACCTTTTGTTCTCACTCGTTCGCATCTGTATTTTCACATTAGGTTGTATGCACGCATAAAATTGTTAATGGTTTAATAGTGTTCAAGTTTTATATGTTCAGTTACTCTGCGGAAGGTTCGTGGTTAGATAATTGCTAGGGTAATATTTCATCGTTGGTGATGACCCCGTTTAGTTTTTCTTAGAAAAAAATATTTTCTTTTAATTAGGCATACATGTCATGTTTGGCCATACAACTTGGTGCTCCACAGATCCCATGTGCAGACTCCAGGAAAAGTTATGTTGGAAAATGTGTAAAAGACATTATGAAATGTGGAACTAAACAAAAAATTATATGAGGAGCAGTAGCATATTTCTGAACACAGTAACTAATTTATGTGTTCAACTTTCCTTTTCATTGGGGTGCCAGGATTTCCGTCTTTTGTTTTGAAATGATTCCAAGAAGAGTTATTACATAACTTTGTGCTAGACTTTTTCTAACTTTGTGCTAGCTCAATGTTCATGTATCAGGTTGGCGTTTAGATTATTTTCTGGCATCAGAGTCCATAGCAGATAAAGTCTACGACTCTTATATTCTCCCCGAAGTCAATGGTAGTGATCACTGCCCAATAGGGCTAACATTAAAACTTTGACAGTTTACAACCAAAGCTCACAAATCCTAAACCTTTTGTAAGTACAATTCTGCTTGGTTTTACAGTACCATGTATCACATACTCTGATTTATTAAACAAAAAAATTATCTGCAGTGCAGGATTTGGTGGGATTTCTTATTGTCGCTGTTTTTCCTTTTTTGGTTCGATAGTGGAGATGTTCTGATGGTGCAGAGGTCTAAACCTATAGTTCACTGATTGAATTTTCCTCTATTATTACTACGGTTACATCTGTTTTCTTTGTTTTCTTTATTTTCTTATTAGAATTCTGACGCCCTTTCTAATTTCAGTTTGCAGGGCTCCTTCAGATCATTGATGTGCAATGTCATGAATAGGCATTTCTAGGCTATCTTTTTCTGTAGTCATGCAGTGGAGTTTGGACGTAGCATGACAATGGATAACATTTTGTATGATGGAGCTTAAAGTAAATTGAATTTGTAGTAGTTCCAGCTTAAATTAGAGCAAATGTTTTTAAGTTTTTGCAGGTGTTCCAGGTCTATGTAGCCTTTGTGCGTAACTCCTGCGTTATCAAATATGCATGACTCTTTTATTATCAAATATGCATGACTCTTTACTCGTTCAGATAACATGGTTGAAAGATAATTCTCTTTTAATTTCCTTCATTTGGAGTTGAGTATTGAAAACTCAGCAATGCCTATGATTTGGCAATGAGCAGATTAGTCAAGGTAGGTGCTAGAGCGCAGGTTTGAGGTAGTCATTTGCTGAAGTGTTTCAGTATCTTTCAATGCTTGATTTTGGTTCTTACATGCTATCATACCACGAAGCTATAGCTTATATTAGCCTTTAATCCAGTACTGTTTTAAATGTACAACAAATTTACAAGGGCTTCAAGGCCTTTTTAACTCACTTCAACAAGGCTAAATCCCGGGTCTTTTTTCAACCTTTTTGCTCCCATCTCACGCCTCAATCTCCCTGATTTTCTCCATCTCTTGACCGTCGAATAGATATTCGATAGCATCACCTGGGAACGAGCAGTTGAATGATTCATCTCCGACAACAGCTTCCCAATTTCTTCGCCTATTCTCACATCACCATAGCTCCTGCAAGCCCCAAGCAAAGATTCAAGCATTTCTTCACAGGACTTGGCATCATAATTCGCCAGTTTCTTGACAGTCTCATAAGCTTCCTCCAAGTGCCCAGATCGTCCTAAAAGATCGACTATGCAAGCAACATGCTTCATTTTCGGTTGAATTCCATAAACTTTCGCCATCGATTCAAATATATTCCGCCCTTCATCGACTAATCCTGAGTGACCACAGGCTGAAAGAATGCTTACAAATGTAATATCATCAGGCTTTATTCCAGTCTCTTGCATTGTGTAGAATAAACGAAGTGCTCCTCCTCCATCGCCATTAATCCCATAAGCATTTATCATGACACTCCAACTGATGGAATCCTTCAATTCCAACTGATCGAATATCTCTCTTGCAAATGATGAACTTCCTGATCGAGCATTCATGTCGATGAGAACATTGACGACTGCAGTGCTCTTATTGAATCCCTTGCGAATAGCAAAACCTGTCAATGAATGGGATAGAGCTAGACTGCTCAGATTAGAACAAGCAGAGGCTAGGGTTAACATTGTGACAGAATCAGGCTCTATTCTCATTTCAAGCATTTCTTTGAAAGCGGTTATCGCTCTTCCTACATTCATGCTTTGCACATACACAGACATCATGGTGTTCCAAGAAACAATGTTTCCTTTATCCATCGTCTTGAATACTGAGCAGCAAGAGTTCAAATCCTCGAACCTAGCATACATACACATTGTAGACGTACAAAGTGAATTATCTAATTCGAGGAAATTTTTTATGGCAAAGGCATGAGTCGACTTCCCCTGTAACTTAGTTTCACAACTAGGCAAGAGATTGAGCAATGTTATAGAGTTTGGCTTTTGAGCTTCTCTCTTCATTTGATTGAAAAGGGACATTACTTCGTCAAATAAGCTAAAGTTTCGATAACCTGTCATCAAAGCATTCCACGAGACTACAGTCCTTCTGAAGCATAAGCTCTCAAAGAGAAGGTGAGCATCCTCAATAAAACCAAAATTTGTGTACATACTTATAAGAGCATTCTTGAGAGAAACATCGGATTCAAACCCAGTTTTGATCGCAAGAGAATGGAACAATATCCCAGTGTAGAGGTCTTGGTGCTGATAAAAACTAGGTAGAATGTTGATAATTGTGATCAAATCAAAATTTGTTTCTTCCTCTTGCATTTGGCAAAATGAAGCTACTGAAGCCTTTGCATCTCCAATCCTAGCCCACACTGATATCAAAGTATTCCAAGAGACCACATTTCTCGCTCTCAATCTATGAAACAACTTACATATATCAGAAAACTGATTGCAATCGGAATAGAGAGCCAGAAGCGCATTCATCACATTGATGTTCAAATCAAATCCTCTTCTAAGGCTATAAGCATGAACAGACTTCCCTAGTTTCAAATCTTTACTCATTGAACATCCAGAAATTGCACTAATGATGCTGATTGAATCAGGAATTAGATTGTTGACTTGCAAATCACGAAATGTGGCTAAACTGTTATCTGGAAGCCCGTTCAAAATATAGGCAGAGATCATTGAATTGCAGAGTAGAAGGCTTTTCTGAGGTGTTTCATGATATAAAATCTGAGCTGCACCCAATTCTCCAAGCTTAGCATACATTGATACAAGCGAAGTCGCCACAGATATTAGATCTGCAAGCCCAAGTTTAACCGTAAGAGCATGTATTATCTCACCATGATGAATGCTGGAAAGATCACCGCAAGATTGAATAACCGATATCATAGTAACCAAATTAGGCCTCCATCCTTCGCTATGCATGAGGCTAAAGATATCAAATGCCTCATTGGCCTCGCCATTATGGGAATATGCAGAAATCATCGTGTTCCAAGAAACCAAGTCCTTCGAATCAACCTCATCAAATAACACTCTGGAAGCTCCCAAGTCAACATCAGCATACATTGTGATGAGAGCAGACACCACAGTACAATCCTTTACAAAACCCAATTTTAGACAAAACCCATGTATCTGTTTCCCAAACCTCTCCCCTCCCAAACCAAGAACACTAACAAAAGTGCTCGAATTGGGCCTTAAATTACCCTCCACTTGCATTGATCGCAATGCGTTAATGGCTTCTAAGCCCATACCATTCAATGAATACCCAGCAATTAACGCATTCCACGAAATCAAATCTCTCTCAAGAATTTCATCGAACACTGTTCTAGCGCAAACCATCAAGCCCATTTTCGCATACATGTCAACAAGAGTTGTTTGCATTACCAGATTGTGCACGTACCCGGTCCTCAAAACCGAACAGTGCACCTCTTTCCCGGTCCTGAGAGCTAACAAGGCCGCGCAAGCCTTGATTACAAAGGGGAATGTGAAGTTATCTGAGCAGTGAGAGCCCGAATATTGCAGGTTGTGGTAAAAATGAAGGAGATGGGAGTAGTACCCGTGATCGGAGAGGGAACGGAGTATGAGATTTTGTAATGACAATGTGGGTTTTGAGAGTGAGTTGTAAAGGGAGAGTGCGAGGTTAGGGAGGTTGAAGGAGAGGTAGAGGTTTAGGGTTTGCATTGTGAGAGGGGGGTGGCTGATGAGGCCATTGATGATGACGTGGGTTTGGATTTTGGAGAGAGTCTGTAGGTTCTTGCAGTTGGTTAGGAGTTGTTTAAATTGGGAAAGGGAGGGAAAGGGCATTTTTCGAAGGGAGAGGGTTTGAGTTCTCTCCCCCTTCTTTTTTCCTTTTTCCTTCTGAGTTTTATTTGCTTTTAAAGGTTTGAAAAATGGAGGAAATGGAGTTATGGAGTTTGAGAAGTGCGATTGGTGTTCGAGGGAATCTTGATGCATTTTAATTGACAGTCAAGTACATAGAACCTTGAAGCGATTGGTAACTTGGGATATTTTTAGGCTCAGTTTGGTAAAATAGAGGTAAATCAGTTTAGTTCTAAAACGATTCAGTTCTGGATTAAAATGGGTTTAAGGACAAAATTTGGCCTAACAAAGACCAATTTAAATCCAGATCCAATTATTTGCCAAACTAGGGTTAGCATCTAAGCAGATTTTATTGGCAAAGCCAATTTAAGTGGAGTTACCAAACAAACTCTGCTGTTTGGCAAGGGGTTGAGAGAGAAAGGTTAAAGAGAACTACTGATTTAGTTAACCCTTCACGAGAAATTAAAAATAATTTAATTCCGTTTGGATTTGATAGTCAAGATGAAAAGCTCTTTTTTTTTGGAAAATAAAGAAGGGTTACGGAGGTTAGTTGCCAAAATTATTCTAAAAAGTATCTAATTTTTAGGTTTCATTTCTTGTTTCTGGAGACAGGAACTCTTAACTCTTCTTTTTAGGCGGATTCGTTAACCCATCTAAATGAGAGGTTAACTAACATTTAACCCGTGTAAAGGATATGTTAACTTTTTAACCAAAGTAACTCGCTTGGATGGTTAAGGAGATGTTAAATCCCTTTAACCCTTCTCTTAATGCCTACGGGAGTTAAGGAATGAAAATTTATTCAGTGAAAGGAATGCGTCTGATGGTAGAGGGGGGAAACTACCCTTTTCCACTCCATTAGGAGCGAATTCATCACACGTTAAGTGCAGATAATACTTGATCCAAAAAAGAAAAAAAAAAGTGCAAGTAATCCACATAGTAGTTGTATTCATCCTTCATCCTGCACGTCAATAGTAAAGAATTAGCTAACTGTGAAAGTATCATAATCAGAAGTTTCATCAAAATGTCACTTACTCTCAGTAAAAGCCTTAAGCTATCAACTTCATATAAAAAGTCCAAAGTATAAGTGCAGATGTTTTCTGCAATACCCACATTCTAGGCTTCTTTATCCAGAACTTCAGTATGAGCACCGATCAAGACACGAATTATAACCGATGTTTTAAATATAAGCCGATTTTATCGATTTATCCCTGATATATAGGGTTTGGGTTATGGCCGATACGATTTTTGCAAAAATTTATCACATATAGTTTTGAGCCAATTTTTCCCGATATATCGATGTAAATCTGATAAAGCGACCGATTTTTCGTGGGCTAAAATCACCCGATTTTCTACAATTTACGTTCTAAGTGAACTGGTTCACGTTTGGAGACAAAAACCCCTCTTTTTTTCATATTCGACCCACATACACAAAACAAAAACAATACTATCATCTTCTATTTCACTTCCACTAAACAAAAGCAATTGGTAAGTGATCCTAAACATGTGTTATTTACATATTAGTATGTTTATGTTTTATTAAATGTGCTTAGATTACTTTTTAAGACATTATATTATATATGCTCACTATCCAATGTAACACTCCGATTTTTACTACTTATCCCCAATATATCCTGATAACTAGAGTCTGATATGAAGTTTGGCTATCCGATATATTTCTGATAACTGATATTTAAAACATTAATTATAACAAAAACATGCTATTTCGAGAAGGGAAATGAGAACGAAAAATTAGTTTAACTGCTACTAGAGGATTTTAAAGGGCAGATGTTATACTTATAAAAAGGAAAAGCAGTGAAAATCAATGCATTATGGAAGTCATCAATAAAATGGTCTTAAGTCACAAGCCCAGATTTGGGAGAAACCTTACTAGAATCCATACATAGCAAGTTAGAGGGTGAAGAGTGAAGCGTCATACTGTTAAGCTAAAGAAGAAGAAGAATAAGAAGAAGAAGAGTCAATTTACTATGGATACTAAACATATAACACACCAGAAAAGGAGGAAATTTGAAATACAGAGACAGCAACAAAAATAAGGCTGCTCCTTGAACACTTGAGCATCAATTTCACAAATAAACATGTTTACAGTACCAAAAAAACCCTGTGAATATTCTTTTTGCACTCCTTAACCTAACAAAAAAATATATCTCCATATCCAATTTGTGCTATTTCTAAACGACAACAAAAGCTATCCAGATAACAGATTAAGATACAGATTTATATCTCCATATCCAATTTGTGCTATTTCTAAACGACAACAAAAGCTATCCAGATAACAGATTAAGATACAGATTTTTTCCATTGGCATGAACTGCCTGATTCACCTGATCTTTGATGATTACTCTGCCCATAATTCCACCTTGATCTCGACTGTCGCATTGATACAGGTTGCCCGCCACGCATTGTATTCTCATACTGATAATTTCCTATATTCCGCTCAGTATAATCACTCCAATTATTTCTATTTCCCTTGTAGTTATTATCCATCTGCCTCGATTTCGAAAATCTCGAGTCATAATCACCACCGTTTCTTTTCCTACTGTTTTTTCCACCCTGCCCACTGTTCAAATTATTCCAGTGCTGCCCCCATGAATTATTCAGTCTATCATTCCATGAATTATTCTGTCTATCATTCCATGAATTATTGCAATTCTCTACATTATTCCATCCAAGGGGTGGATGCGGTTGTTCAATAAACTTATCCCAATTACCCGAATGACGCTCAGCTGTATTCTCCTCGGCATCACCCCATCCTGTAGCTGGAATTGGTTTATCTTCAACAATCAAAGAATCCCAGCCATTGTTTCTTTCATTTTTCTTATCAGGTAGAGAAGGCATTGGCTGTTTTTCTAAATCTTCAACTAATTTCGGATCAATGACAGTCTTGTGATCAACTTTATCAATATACATATCTGGGTCTGGCAAAGGGATGTGAAATGGGAGGCCATTAATATGTGCCCAGTACCGGGCTTTTGAGTTCTGAAAAGCTTCAAATGCAGCAATGTCGTCCCACTCTGCTATGTTTTTATATGCGGAGAGCGAAACTTTAGCTGCACAGATTCTTCCCCAAGGAACTAAGCAGACAGAAGTGCAGAATCTCCTCTCCCATGGAGGAATTGCAGATTGTGAAGATCCTGAAGAAGAAATAGGAAATAATCATCTCGAGAGCTTGAAATCTATAGTTTAAAAAGGGAAGAAGTTTCTAACATGAGAATCATGGAACTTTACAACAATTGATAATTGATAATTGATCAGCAAAGCCTATATCCATGTTCTCAGATAAGAAACAAGAGAGATGAGCAGTAATTCCACAAAGAAGTCTTAAATTGAGCAAAGGATAATACTACTGAAGTGAGGAAAAATAGATCATTGAATGATTAGGTATATATTCAGTTTACTAGAACTAAGTCTCAAACTAACAACTCTCAAATATTCCCAGATATAAAACCAGAAAACTCTCAAAGCATCATTCCTTCAGATAACACTCATTACAAGTACAACTGTTGGAAACATCTACGAAGAAAACAGAGATTGAAGATAAAACAAGCTTGAGAGAAGAAAAACGATGAAAAATCAGCAACTTGATCCAATAAACGATTTCAAAAACAAACCTAATATGAAATTAAGTGGCAAGCATTGGAAAATCTTAGCTAATACACATCCAATACCGAAAATAGAGAAATTTGCACATCATACTGCCAAATCATGACAACATAACTTTAAGATGAGAGGTAAAGAGTTCTATGTAAGCAGGTATATAGTTCTGAAAGAATCCACAAGTTCGGAAATCTCTAGGTTTGGCACAGACTGTAGAATGACAACTACACATTAAACAGTGGCGGAGCCAGGAATTTCAGCAAGGAGAGTCCAAAAAAATAATTACGCATGATAACATATAACTTTTAGCAATATTGATTAGCATATATCATTACAAAACAAGACTTTCAAAATCATATTTCCAATTATAATATAGTGTTTACAATACCATTCCAACTTCACCAACTTGTACTGTACACCAAAGGATACTTATATATAAGTATCCATCTTCCATGCAACCAAGTCTTTTGCAGATAGACCCCCGTAGTTTTAATTGTGCAGATACACCATCTGAGGGATTTTTTTAGTTTTAAAAGAATCAAAAAGTTTTGTAGAGGCGAATAGACCCCTTGTAGTTCTATTGGTGTGGATAGACCCCTAATTACTAATTCTCTTACACTTAAAGGAGTTTAAAAAAAACACCGAAGGGGTCTACCCGCACTTGAGCAAAATACTACAAGGGGTGTTTCCACACAAGAAGTATGGAGGGCTATTCACAATTCAACAATACTAGGGGTTTATCTGCCTTATTAAACCCTAAAGTTGTGTACCTACATTACTGACGTAGTTCTTATCTTGTAATCGAAGTTCACTTGCCATAGAGAGCTAGAGAAACAAAAATTGGAAGAATTTTAAGTTAGGTATCTATGCACTTTACCCCTTCAATAAATAATCAAGTATTAGCTAAACAACCCAAGTAATAAGCTTCTTTTCTCCTATTCCACTGGGGGGGGGACAAGGCCCACTTGGGCCCAACATGGCTCCACCCTTGACATCAAAGGCCCTCTATGGAAAATCTTTTAAACAATATATATGCCCATTACTCAAAAAACTATTACTTGGAAATGAACAATAGATGTGGGTACAAAGTGTACACACACACTAAGCGTTGTCCGGTACGGAATCACCTAAAGGACTCACTTTAGGATACAGCACTTCTAACTTGAGGCAACATACAACTGAGGTATCAAAAATAGTATACAGAAAGAACATAAAGCATAAAAAGCAAGAACCATAAACATCTTTATGCATTCAACAGTAATGTATTTACTCCTATCTGTTCTGATTCCAGGACAATGGTCTGTAACAAACTCAAGCTCCACGAAGAACACATAATTTCTAGCTGCAATGGGCCTATGTCATAAACAATGCAATGAATTGGGAAATGCAAGTGGTTGGAGAAAAAGAACTGAGCTGCTAAATAATTAGCTTCCACATGACAACAGAAATAATCAAATATACCTTTCAAATTAAATAAAGAACAATTCTCAGTTGACATTGTATGCCATAACCGCCCAACGAAAAAATAGTAATAATAAACTTTAGCCCTAAATCATAATAAAGCCTCCATATACTCACCAAAGTGATTGAAGATAAAAAGAAAAAACCATATACGACAAAGGAAATTCGTATAAATCATAATAAAGCCTCCATATACTTACCAAATACACAAAAATTATACTTTACAGAGAAACATAATAAACTTTAGCCCAAAATCACAAATGCAGCTCCCTTAGAATTTAAATCAGTAACTAAACAGCCCAAGCTGCAATCTTTCGACACTAATTTGAAGACCCATTAAGCTTATCCAAACAATTTTTTTTGAAAAGAAGCCCTATCAACTGGTATCAAATGAAAACCCTAGACGTTCACAAAATCTACAGAAAAATACCAAAGGTCCAACCATCAGATAAAACAGTAAAATTCAATTAGCAAGACTTCAAATATTCGATTGAATTTTGAGGATCAGGAAAAAAAAATACCAGGACACTGCGGAGGTCTCCCGTATCTAGACGGCCTACCGTGATCGTCCCAAGATCCCCAAGCTGCGTCTCCCATTTTTTATTTTATTATTAACTTTTTTTTGCCAAAAATAGAAAGAAAATCACAGGTTTCAATGTCGAGAAAATTTTGAGAAAAGTTCCCAAATTTAGAGGATTTTAGAGGGTTTTGAAGAGGGATTGAGATGAAGGAGGGCGAGGGTTTTATTGGGGAAGAGGAGGAAAAGGCTTTTCGCACGCAAGGCGGTCTGCGGGGGTAAAAGGATAGCGTTAAATACTTTTCCCTAGTGCCCCGTTTGGAAGGAGGGTTAGAGAGCGGAGGGGAAGAGAAATACAATTTTCATCTTGTTTGAGAGTTTTTTTAAGGATGTGCTTGGTTTTCTTACCCCCTTGATTTGGACGGTAGAGAAGGGTAAATGAGGGTAAAGGGGTATAATGACATTCTTATCCCTATCAAAACAAATAAAAGAGCTGATGTGTTATTAGTATAAAGTCATTTATGTAAATTTACATATATTTACTTACTTTCACCTTCATTCACCTTACTCAATTCCCAAACAACATATTACAATTCTCTTCACTTCCCTTCCCTTTCCGTTGTTTACCTTTCCTTCCCTTCCCTTAGTAAACTCCCAAACACACCATAGAGAAGCGTTCGAGCTTACGTGGCAAGATTTACAATTTTAAAGATTCTGCAGAGGAGGATTTCTATATTAGTCCCTTACAATGTTTAACATTATGAAGATTACCTATTGAATCGTTGAAATTGCCGTCAGATACCCAAAACTTACAACTTGTTGCAAATTAGTCCCAGTAATCCTTGTCGTCTTTCGTTCTAACCCAAAAAAATTTATTGTTCTGGGTTAGATTGATTTTTTTTTTTTTTGGTAAATGAAAATTTTTATTCATTCAACCTTTTGGAAGTTATGTACATCAAAGAAACCCATAGTTTGAGTTAACTAAGAAAATGAACAACATTTTGTGTAAGAGATTCTTCCCAGCAACAACAAACAAAACTTGGAAATTGTAGGATTATAAAGACAGGATCCATTCTCTGTTTTCAGCAGCCACTTTGCTATTTAAAATTGCAGTCATCAAATCAACCTTGATGGTTTTAACAAGCTAATCAATTACTCTAGATTTTTGGTTGAAAATCCTCCCGTTACGTTCCATCCATATGTTATAGATAGAGGAGGTTAGAGCCATTCTTCTAACATTATGCTTGAATCCTTTCCCCCGCTAACTGAAACTATACCAGTTCAATAACTGGTTCCAATCACAACTTCTCCATTTGAAGCAAAGCCAATCCATTAGTCTGTTCCAGACCTCTTTAGATAATTTGCAATCAAAGAATAGATGATTTCGACTTTCAGCATCTGCACCTAAACATAAAATGCACTGGTTTCATTGGATTATCCCTCTCATAAGCAGTTTGTCCTGAATTAGAAGCCTATCTGGGACAGCTAACCACGAGATAATTGAGTGCTTAGGGTAGTTAAGACCCCCCAGATAGTTATACACCAGGGCACTTTGCTTACAGCAGGGGATAGGGCAAGATACAAGGCCGAGAGTTTGACTTTTGAATTTTTGCAACAGGACCTGATTATGTTTTGTAGATTTTTCAATCCACCACATTAAGCTATTGCTTTGTTTCTGACTTTTACGAGCTACTTCCACATCCAAAAATCTCCAGCTTTCATATCCACTTATCATATATTCATGTGTTTAAGGTATGTGCCATGAATCCATTTAATCCTGCAATGTTCCAAATTATAGAAGAGAAGATCCCCAAGCCACCATACAATTTCCCTAAACAAACTTTGTCACATGATACCAGAGATGGCTTGAAAGCATGATCATTTTTCCCCAAAAGAAAATTCCTACAGAGCTCATCAACTTTTTTAAGAACTTTAGTTGGTAGAACATAGCTAGAGGTCCAGTATATTTGCATGCCAAGTATTACACTCTTTATCACCTGTAATCTGCCAGCATAAGACAGGTTTTTTATCTTCAAACAGCTTTGGAATTGGTTGGAAACTTTATTGAGAAGAGAATTACAATCCTGAAATGTTAGTCTCTTACATACAAGAGGAACGCCTAGATATTTGATAGGCATTTTTCCTCAGAGAACCCCAAATATTCATGAATGGCTTCTTTAACGGATTCATCTACTCCTCCATAGAAGATAGCACACTTGCTAGGATTTGCTTCAAGTCCTGAAACTTGACTAAAGCTTGTGACACATTGATTAAGCTTCTGTATAGAGGTAAGATCACCTTCGCAAAAGAGCAATAAGTCATCTGCAAAGATTAAATGAGTTATTTTTTGCTTCCCACACTTTGGGTGATATTTAAAATTTCTATCCTGTTTCAGAAGATCCCAACTTCTTGTAAGATAATCCATTGCCAAGATAAACAAATATGAGGAGAGAGGCTCTCCTTACCTTAAATCTCTTGCACCTTTGAAGTAACCATGCAGGGAGTCATTGAGAGAGATGGAGTATTTTGGGGTAGATATGCATGTCATAATTCTGCTTATCATCTCATTTAGGAACTGCAAACCTTGAAGAATCTCCTTTATAAAATTCCAGCTAACAGTGTCAAAGGCCTTCCTTATGTCAATGTTGATCATAACTCTAGGGAAGATGTGCTTCCTTTCATAGTTTTTAACCAATTCATGAGCCAACAGGATATTGTTAGTTATATGTCTACCCTTTACAAAAGCACTTTGAGCTTCACTAATGAGATACCCCATAACTGATTGTATCCTATTAGCAAGAATTTTTTATATGACTTTATAGATGTAATTGCAATAGGAAACCAGCCTGAAATCAGAAGGGGTGCTTGGACAATGTACCTTTGGGATTAAAGTGATAAATGTAGAGTTAATAGCCCCCAGTAACTTGCCTGTAATGAAAAACTCCTCGATAGATATAGAAACTTCCTCTCTAATAACTGACCACGCAGACTTAAAGAAAGAAGCTCCATAGCCATCTGGACCTGGAGACTTATTATCTGCCATGGAGAATACAGCTCTCTTGATCTCCTCTTTTGAAATTGGTGCTGAAAGGCTTCTGGCATGATTTTCGCTCAAACATGGACCATTTTGTATAATCCTGATGTTTGGAGTAGATGTTGCTTTAGCTGTACCCATGAGGTTCTTGTAATATGAGATGAGTTCATTAGCAATTTCCTCACTCTTTGTAATTCTTTCTCTCATGCTGTTATTGAGGAGCAATACTCTGTTCTGATGCCTGTTGGCTTTGATAATTGAGTGAAAGTAGCTTGTGCACCTATCCCCTTTAATGCTCCATTGAATTCTTACTTTTTACTGGTAGAAGGACAACTCACAATTCAAGAGTTTATTATAAGTAGAGAAGCAGTCTTTTTCCTGATTTATAAAAATAGGATTACAAGAATCTTCCTGCAACTTTTATTGGGTATCCTCAAGTGCATGTTTAGCTCTTAGGACCTGTTCACTTATATTGCCAAAATGTTTCCTGTTGAGTTCCTTCAGAGCACCCCTCAAAAGTTTGAGCTTAGTAAAAACTAAAAACATTCCGAACCTTCTATTTGTGTTTTCCATATTGAAGTCACTTTGGGAAAGTAGTTGTTATGATTTGTCCACATTTTGAAAAAATTAAAAGGCTTTTTTCCTTGCTTTTCCTCTTCATAGATTGAAACTAATGCAAGAGAGTGGTCTGAGAAGATAGGAAGCAAGAACTCTACATGGCTAGAATTATACTTATGAACCCATGAGTCATTCACTAGGGCTCTATCCAACCTGCACCAGACCCTGGTATCATGATCTTGCTTATTGTTCCAAGTAAAAAAAACTACCCAATGTTTTTAAGTGCAATAGATGACAACCTTCAATGAATAAACTAAAATCTTTTGTATCTGCATCAGTGAGTACTACTCCTCCTAACTTTTCATCATTATTGATCATAGTGTTGAAATCCCCACAGAGAAGCCATGGAGCATTCCCAATAGTTTGCTGAATTTGGAGGAGTTCTGTCCATAAAGTTTTCCTGTATTCCTGATGATTGAAACTATAGATAGAAGACATAAAGCAGTCTATTCTTCCATCTAAAGACTTGACAGAACAAGTGATATGCTGAGGGGAGATATGCTCAACTTGAATATTTCGTATATCAGGATCCCATAGTACCAGGATCCTGACTTTTCCAGTGTTTGATACACTTAAAATCCATTTCCATCTGACAGCTATCTTCTTTGTTATTGCTGGCATGTTTGCCTCTTTTATTCTTGTTTCAATCAAAGAATGAAGGAAAGATAATATTGAAATATATGCTGCTTTATCAAATGTTGCTTAGGGGATTTGTTTAATCCCCTAACATTCTAAAAAGAAAAGTTTATTTCATTTGTTTTGGTCCCCTCTATCCATTATAGAGGGATCAAGTTCATATGCCATTGCAGCCAGAGGAGAGAAGGAATTAATAGAGGTAAGCCCCTTTTTACTTAGTTCCCTTTGCATTTGCACCCAAAAAATTCTAGTATGTGTAGCTTCCTTGTTATTAGTATTAATTCCAGACTCATCCTATAAAACATGCACAACATGCACAGGACTATTACCAGCTAAAAAGAAGACATACATGTACCATTTTCTATATGGTTTTTAACATGATCAAGACTATGTGCAAATCCAGTATTGTGTACTAAAACTTGAGTGTGTACAAGCTGAGGTGGTTGCTGATTTTGATTTAGTGATGTATGCACAGCCTGAGCAATACTAGACATAAGAGAATTCCTTACTGGTTGTTGGGCATGAGCTGAAGGCTCCTGAGTATGCAAATTTTTATCATTCACATACACAGGCATCACATGTTCAGGATTATGCTCAACAGGATGACCATTATCAGAATCTTTCAAGAAGTTAGCTCTCTTATTAACCTGAACATTATTGTTTGTTCTAGTAATATTTTTTGGAACCCATTTCTGAGTTCTGGGCTGCCTCTTACAAATTTTTGTATCATGCCCCAATTGTTTGCATATATCACACCATCTATGCTTCAGTTCATAGTGCACCATTGATTAAACAATTTACTATTTGGTCCTTGTATAGAAATATGATCTGGAAGCTATGAATGCATATTAACTTCAACAAAAATTCTAGCATAAGCTAATCTCTGTCTATTGGCCGTGAGTTTATCTGTGGTAATTGGCCTACCAATAACACTTACAATTTTGCTTAAACTCTTAGCATTCCACAAGTTTAGTCTTAAATATGGCAATTGGATCCATATAGGATAGATACTTTCAAAACTCTTCTTAATGTC